CACACTTTATTATATTAAACAAGTGTAATAATAATTTTTATAAATAAATGCACAACTTTTATTTTATTTGTAATAAATAAATTATTATAATATTTAAAATATTTCCACTGCATAATTTTATTAATCTGCGCTTAATTGAAATTGAAACCGAACTGATCAATAGCATCAAGCGCAGTTAGGACGAAAACCGCAATTTAAGACAAATGGGAATGAAATGATATTGGAACGAGCTTTTATGTTTTTAAATATACCAACAACAATTGGATATCTTCTGCATATACCAAACATAGAAATTGTATTGATGCAGTTATTAATTAATACGTCACTTATTTTGTTTATTTGATTGATAAAAACAAGATTGGAGTACTGAAATGCGTATGAAGCGCACATTTATTACCAATAATTTTAAATATTATATCATTATCAACATATAGTTTCTTTATTATTAGTATATATATTAATAATACATATATTATTATATATAATATATGACCGTATTATTATATATATAATAATTTTATATAAAATACGGTTATAATGTTAAATTTAGTTTTATTAATTTATATTCACTTACTTGGTGTACCATAAAAATAAAATAATGTGGTTTTACTAGTACACCTGATCTAGATGATGTTGAAGTAGATTTAGTGAAGTTTTGACGTGCTTAAGCTATTGTTTGCAATTCGGGGTTCAACCTTAACTACAGAAAACAGTAAGTCAATTTTCGAAGAACTAAAACTGAAGTCAAATCTTGATTATATTCACCAAAAACTTTATAATCAACTAAAACAAATATCTAAAAAATATTTTATTGCTAATATTAATAATATTAATAATATTAAGTAAAAATATAAGATATTATATTTTGAATTTTATTTCCATTTTCGTTATTTATTTTCATTATTTATTTTTATTATTTTTTTTTATTATTTTTTTTCATTATTTATTTTCATATCTTCGCAAATATTGGATATTAAGTGTTCCAAGGTCAGAGACGTAGCTAAACGATCATATATGGGCGGTATTAACCCTCTCCAAAAAATTGAATAAAAGTAATATTTTGCAATAAAAATAAGTCCTATATGGTGATAACGATCCACAATTTTAGAAAAATATAGTTTCGCAATATAAATTTATATAAGTAATTTTTTTTTATATTTTTTCCATATAATTTTTATATTCATAATTTATTTTCATAATATTGTTTTATTTTTACAAAAAAAGAAAATAGCTTGTGTCCTAAGATCAGAAGTGTAGGAGATATATGGCATCGTTTCCTTCGTTCCAAAAATTGTGTTCAAAGCACTTAATATTTTATAGTGAAATCTGGTACCATGAGACGGTATTCTCTCACTATTAAATAAAAATATAATTTGCTTTTAATTTTTTTATATTTTTTTTATATTCATTTTTATATAAAATGAATCCTAAGATCAGGAGCGTAGGTAAGACGATATATGGCATCGTTAAAAATAAGTTTTATGTGGTGATAACGATCCACAATTATAGAAAAATATTAAAAATTGTGTTCAAAGTACATAATATCTTATTGTGAAATCCGATACCTTGAGGTAACCACAATGGAAATAATATAAAATAGTGAAAATAGTGCGGTTAATATGTTAATATGATTTGGCCACAGACTTATCAAGAAGTTTCTAAAAAATTAACGTGATTCACTTATTTTTACACCTACCTTTATAAAAAGATAATATTCAAAATACACAAATGTGGATAAATTTCAATGAAATCATGTAAAGATAACAATTTTTGTAATTTAAATATATTTCCAAAATTTTGTTCGCAGACAGAACTCAAAACCTATACATATCTGCAAGCGATTATAAAGATCCCATTTTTAGCCTATTATTATTTTATTTTTAGAGATATCACCAATATGGGGATCTAACTTATAGGTTCTTAAATCTCTGGAACGTTTTTAATTTAATTTAATTTAATTTAAAGGTAATTTTTTGAATTCAGTTATAAATAATTTCTAATGTTCTCATACTCAATTTTAATGCTTTTATGAAGCAAATTTTTATTTAAAAACTAAATTTTTTATTATATAAGGAAATTATGTGTATTAAATAATTGTAGAATGTTTCTGATAATATTTCATATAAAATAAATAAAACATGAAGTAATTCAGTTGGTGTTGGTATTAGCGTTTAATAATACATAAATTGGGAACGAACACATTTAAGTGTGTTTTTTGTAAAACAAAATATATAATTTGTATAACAAAACTTCATTAAATTAATATCATTTTTTTACATCAATATTCCTTTTTACAGCAGTCGATAGAGCAAAAAGCTTCAATAAGATACTCAATTTTAATGCTTTTATGAAGCAAATTTTTATTTAAAAGCTAAATTTTTATTATAAAAGGAAAGTATGTAACTGAAATGATTGTAGAATATTTCTGATAATATTTCATATGAAATAAATAAAACATGAAGTAATTCAGTTGGTGTTGGTATTAGCGTTTAATAGAACATAAATTGGGAACGAACATACTTAAATATATAATTTGTATAACAATATATATAATATTTTTAATTTATTAAATTAATATCAACAATTTTTTACATCAAAGTTCCTTTTTACAGCAGTCGATAGGGCAAATTCCTTTCATAATGTATGTGTATTTTCTTTATTTCTCTTTCTCTTCCATCACTATTAGATTATATTGATTCTTAGCAACTCAAGCTTCTATAGGCATTTAATATAATTATTGAATAAATCCTATTGAATTAAGGATAAGAATATTTAATATTATGGAATATTGAATAAAATAAAGTGAAATGTAACAAGCCCATAAATATAGAAGAAATATGACAATATAACTACTGACACCATTTTAAAACCTTCATAGGTGGTAAGGTTACCATTACATCATTGCTACTGAGGGGATTGCATACATATAAGTCAAGAAACACTCTCATTTCTTCAAGATTTCAAGATTTCTTTAAGAGATAAGTAAATTCTTCTTTGAACAAAATTGTACGTAAAGAGAAATTGTACCATTTTGAATATTTACCGAGATAGAGGGTTTTCAAAGATAAGCTTATCAAAACATATCTTCTGCTCATAAATTTTCCAATAGTATTTTCCAACTAGTATTTTACATCCTCTACTTATTTACATAAAACCATTTATTAAATTGTACATCCTCACCAAAATCGAGTGGGTCCGGAACATAGACTTATTCGCTTATTATGCTCATGAATAGTTCATTAATAGTATATAATTAAATGTAAGATAAAATTACATTTAATTTAAATAGATTACTATCTAGATAGATAGATTACTAACAGTTGACCAAAAAGAAAAACATGTTAATGATTTTGAGAGCTATTTGAAGTTGTTAAACCATGACACACAAAAATTTTTGCATTGATATGTAACAAAACTATCCAAAACTTGTATCTATGACTTCTCTCCACAGGCAAATCTCGCCCAAACCGGTCAAAAATGCAACAGACATCTACCAAGGTTATGTTGTCCCTATTTTGAAATGCGCCTGGAATTTTGACTACTTAGAAAAAGGCCAGACCACCAATAGCGATCACTACATTACCTAACTAGTGCATCTGAGGGTGGAAATCGCGAAACAAATGCCCTATATAAAAAAGAAAAAATTCTTCTTTCACCAAAATAATGAGCCGTGTCAAAAGCCGTAGGCAACCATGACTAAATTAAACAAATTACGATTCGATTGCTTGCGCACCCATCATATTTGCCTTTTTTGACCCCAGCGATTAATGTCCCTTTGCATACTTTAAAAAAATATATTATATTTGGCTCTGATAAAAAAGTCATTGCCGTAACTGAGGCATATTTTAAAACCAAATCTGGTTCATTTTATAACAGAGGAATCAAAATTTAGAAAAAGCGCTTTAAAGATTATTTTACTCTTGAAGCAGACTACGTTGATATCAAGAAAATGCTACAGGGAAATAGATTTTACTCCGTTGAATAAGCCATCGGTGAAGTAGAGGCATATTTTAAGGCCAAAATGATTTATTCTATAAGAGTTCTATAAGAGTGATATCGGAATTCAGAAGAAGCACTTGTTTTACTGTTAAATGAATCTACGTTGACCTCAAGAAAATGCAACAGAGCAAGAGATTTCGCTCCTATGGAAAAGTTGTCGGCGTAACGGAGGTATGTTTTAAGACCACAGTTGAATCATTTGATAAAAGTGGTTTCGAAATGTTATAGGAGAGTTTGAGTGATTGTATTACTCTTGAAGAAAATTACGTTGATGAATTAAGTGGTAATCCAAAAGTGTTTATTGATTATTCTACGGTCTTATCAGCCCATATACTCTCTCTGACAAATGTTCTAAGACTTTTTAATGTCGAGTGTACTATAAAAAAATGAAAATACAAAATTATAATTTATTTAAAATATGAACAAAACTTTATTTAATACAAATTCTTCAAATTTTTCATTTTAAAAATTTTCTTTTAATACAAACATGAAACATATGCGAAGATATATAAATATATGTATATTATATATAGTATATAAAATAATTAAATTATTATATTTTTGTCGTTGTCATACAATTCATTTTAAGGCAATAAATAACTACAATAATAATTAATGACAAAGCTTACGAAAATCGGTACTATAACACCGGCGACAACGTTTACAACTCCATATTGCTGAAATAATTTTGGAAAAATTTTTTACTGTAGTAAATCCAAACTGTATTTAATTGCTGGCTATAGTTTTCTTTTGTTTTTGCATTGCATTTGCAGCTTACAATAGTTAAGTATGTAATAATTGTGCCGGCATTACAGCATTTTACATAAATGTGTATAAGTGTGTGTGTGTGTATTTGTGTACTTGTGCATGTGTTTAAGAGAGTGTATGTTTTGTGTTTTCAAAAACAAAATAAAATAATAAAATAAAATGATTGATTTTTTTTTTTATTTTTTGTTTCTTTTTAGCAGCAAAAATGTATGCGTGTGTGGTTGTTGCAAAATTTAGTGGCTGATGACCATAGACTTCTTTACCTTCTTCTCCTTCTTCTCATGGGTAATAGTTACTTCCTCTGTAAAATGAGATGAAATCATTTGAGTTAAATATCTTTTATTGTATTACTGTGTATAGTTATCGGACTTACCTTCGAACTTCTTGGGTAGCTGTTTGATAGTTTCAATAGTTCTAATATTTTTCTCGCCTGGTTCAATAATTTCTTCTTCGTATTCTTCAACAATTTCTTCTTCATCAGTTTCATCATCGTTCTTGCTGCTTGGTACAGGATCGTAGATAGTTTTAGTTGCCTTCTTGACAATACCTTCGGCAGTGACGGTGGTATAATGATATTCAGTGCCACCTTCAATTTTGATGGTTTCAACAGTAGTTACATCGCCAGGATTTTCAGATGGTACAACCTTCTTGGTGCCTGATTCGGATCTAAGTTTCTTAGTGGTGGTAACATTTTTATGCTTTTCAGCATCCTTAAGAGTTTTCTTGTATTCTCTAATTTCCTCTTCAGTTAATTCAACTTCTTCTTCTTCATAAATAGTTTTGCTGGTGGTGATGGTTTTACCAGATTCTAATTGAGTTGAGTAAGTGTATTCAACGCCACCGGGTACACGTTTAGAATCTACAGTGGTGGTGTCATTTTCAATAAAATCTGGTGGTGGTGGTGGGATATTAGACTTAGACTTCTTCTTCTTCTTGCCATCGGTAACGTTAGTATTTTGTGTAATAGACTTAACGTTTTGTTCTTGTAATGAATTTTTGCGTACAGTACGATTATTTTCAGTAATTTCAATATTTTGAGTAACTCGTCGTGACTCTTCAACAGTGGTGTTCTCTTGATAGTTCGATTGATTTTTCTTTTGCACAATTTTACGTGAATCAGTGGAATCGGTCGATTCAACTGAAGATTTTCTGGTAATAGTTTTCTTTTTGTTATCTTGCACATTCTTCTTGCTGGAGGGTGGTGCTTGATCAGGTATTTCAGTTGGTACAGAATCAAAGAAAGTTTTTGTGCGCATACTCCTGGTACCATCTTCATTAATGGTAGTGTAAACTTCTTCATAACCACCTTCGATCTCACGTGTTAACATAGTGGTGTTCTTGTCAATACGTACCTCTTTGCCGAAACGTTGTCTAATCAGCTTCTTGTTAGCAGCTTCTTTACGCATATCTTCTTCACTAACTGGTTTAGGATCCCAGAAGGTTCTTACTTGAGTCTTTATGGTACCATTGGGTTGTGGTGTGCTTGTTCTCATTTCATAACCACCCTCGATAACCTTATAGACAGTGGTCGCCTTGGTCTCGGGATCGTATTCGGTTTTGCCATCTTGAATGTCAGCGGATGTCAAGAGTTCTATGTTTTTGTAGTGTGATTATGTTTAAAAAAGAATAAGAAGAAAGAAAGTGTAAAGAAAAAGTATTTGTGTGGGTGTAATGTGTTAGAAATTCATATCAATATCTATGTAAAGAGTGGAGTATATACATTATTCATGTTTAGTAATTATTTGTGCAAGCTTTGTTTATGAATATGTTTGAGCATTTTTTAATTAATATTCATTAATATATACGACGATGTGCGCTCCCATCAAAGTCCACTACAAATCCACTTTCTGCTGAAGTAGTTTAAGCTAGCAATTTTCTAAAACTCTTTATTATAGTTTAAGCTCATAATTACTTAATGTTTTTTTTTTTTGTTTTTTGGTGTCTCATCTATTTTAAACAACTAAAACCTTACATATTTTTTATATTTATTATTTTTAAAACATTAAAATTATTTCTATTATTTATGAACTAAATTAACTTCTCAATTGAAACCTGTCAAGTCTTAAAGCACAGAAATTTATCATCCTAAAAATCTACTAAATTCGCTATTTTGTACAATGTGCGTGTCTGCGGGAATTTTGTTGGATAATTGCTCACATTTGTACACATCAAACATGTACGGGTTCAGGAAACGTTGCCTCGGCCAGCTCATCAATTAGACTCGCCGGCAAAAGGCAATTGTAGAAGGTCAGCATTTTAAGTAATTGTCATTTGAACTTGCGCATCGCCTTTTGTTTAGTGGACTTTGAGGAGGTCTGTTGTTGCTGTTGGTGTTGATGTTGGTGATGGGTGTGGGTGTGGGTCTGAGTCTGAGTCTGGGTTTGTTGTAGATGTTGTGCGTGCGTCTGTTGTTGTCTTTGAGTGGTGGTCTGTTTTTGGGTATCTGTGTTAGTGGGTGTTTTAGTTTCTGTTTCGCTAATGACATGATTGTTTAGTTGCGCCACCGGTGAAGGATTCTGTTGATTCAACAATTTCTTTGCAGTTTGTGTTAGCATTATATTAGTTGAAGCACTGAAACCTGTAAAATGATGTTTAATATAAATAAATTGTTAATTTAACTAAAAATTTAATAATTCGTATAATATTTTAAATAGTGTATGCAGTTTCAAATATGTCATTAAAATCAGTAAAATTCATACTGATGTTATATTAAATGTTTCTATAGGACCCAAGCGAGTTACTTAAATATAGTTTAATTTTAAAAAATAATGACAAAATTGGACGACAGTCTTTTCATCTAAGAACATAGATAAATTTAGTAAATTATCCATATAGATAAGAACATAAGGAGACTAAAATGTTAAATAATCTTTATAAAATACAATAATTAATTCTGTTTCATGTTTGGAAAACAGTAATCAAGATATTTTTTTTTTAAATATTGAATCAACATTTTAGAACATAATAACATTTTATATAATAAAATTAATATTTTAAGGGAAATATTAATAACAAAACAAGCTATTTATTCAGTTTCTTAAAGTATCACTTATTTTTTTTTTGAAACATTTTTTAAGAAATGGCTATAAACCAAAGTCAAAATTTTGAAAATTGGTTTAAATAAAAACACTATTTATTAAAAACTTTCCAAACTCTCTCTAATAAAAACTTTATTTAAAAATAATTAATGGTATTTTAATTAACTGATAAATTATACTGTTTCATAATTAATATATAAATTTGTTCATTAAAATAAAGAGTACTTAAAAAAACAACATGTACTAAATAATTATATTCATAATAAATTGTTATATTAATAACAATTAATAACAATTAATTGTTAATTAATAATAAATAATTATATTTATAAAAAAAAACCTATATTTTTAAAATAAAATAATATTTATAATAAATAATTATATTAATAATAAATAATTAAATTTATAATAATAATATATATAGTAAATAATTATATTTATAATAACTATTTATATCTATAATACAAAATTCTTTGATATTATTCAACAAATAATTATATTCATAACCTTATAACCATCATAACCTCAACCTCAACCTTGACCTAATATTTTTTTGACCGGGCCGTAATAATTTTATATATATATTAAATAATATAAATAAAAATTATTAATGAATTATAATGTTATAATTATTTACTATTATAACGTTTTATTACTTAAATATGTAGACTTTAATTATTATTTGAAATTAACAAATAAAATAAGTATACATTTTTTATACTATTCAGTATACCTAGAAACCAGCAAAAACATACAGATACATATAAATAAAATAAAAAAAAAATAACTTAAAATAGAAAAGAAAAAAATTCAAACAAATATATAATATAATACATAATATATATAATATATTAATACTAACTTGCATTAACAGAATGCTGGGGAAGTTACTTTACTTATCTTTTTGTGTTAGTGGATTTCAGTAAAGAAGGACACTGAAGCAACAATGAAGTATATAGTGAAGCCGATTTGACCTATTATATTATATGTAATTCATTGTTGTCCAGTGATCTTTCTCAATGAAATTGACTATATAAGATTAAATATTTTTTTTTTCAACTTTCAATAAATAAATAAGTAAACAGTTTAAAAAATTGTGTAAAAAGTTTATCTTAAAAGACATCCTATTACTCCAGAACGTGGCTAATCGTAGAACTAAATGTATTTCCAAGCTAATAATAATATATTTTGAATTATCGTTTTTTTATGTATGTGCATATATTTGTGTACAATATATAAACCATGTGCACACAAGACAATGATGAAACTTAACTGAAAAATAAAAAATTAATTAGAAAAACATATATAAATTGAAATAAATAATACATTTTTTATGACCCCAAAAGCTTGTGAATCATAAATTCTTAATAGATAAAATTAAAACCAATCTCAATTATTCAAATCTTCGTTCTCCAGAAAAGCAGGAGTAGAGATTTGTATAATCGAGATTTTTAAAAAATTATTAAATGAGAAATAACAGTTTCACATTTTAAAAGATTAATTGATTATTAGTTTTAAAGTATATTCGAAACAGGTATTCCGCATCTGTCTCGAAATACTTTCGAATCATAGATCTCTAATCTCGGGGACTTAATTGTATAAAATTCACAACCGAATTATTCACATGTTAGAATCTCAAAATTATTATGAAATTTTGTTTGGCAAGATTGATATGTCCGATTAAACTGAGATTTTCGAATCTCAGTTTCTAAAATTATTTTCGTATAAGGGGTTTCCGATCTCCCCTTATACGAAATTATACGAATTATAACCGAAGACTTCCGAATCTTGGTTTTTCTGTGTTTCTATAGTAGGGCATTACACGATTAAACAAATCTATCCAAATCTCAGTTTTTGCATATTTTTGAAATAGAGATTCCGGATATATTTTAACATACTTTTAAATTATATGTTTCTGATTTCGAATAAATAAATAAAAATATTTTTCAACCGATAATTTTCGAATTTGTTTTCATTATTATTTTTTAAGTAGAAATTTCAGATTAAAAAGTGATATTGGAATATCACTTTTTAAGTAAATTTTTAACAATGGTTTCGAATCTTATTCTTAATATATTCGAAACAGATATTCCGTATCTGTTTCTACATATGTTTTAATTACTTTATTTACTTTAATACATTATATTTAACAACTTGATATTTCGGATTTAGTCATATATTATTGAAGTAATGGTTTACGATTTATAGATACATTTATTTCTGAAATCTCTGTTTCGAAACTATTTAGAAACAGAAATAAGAAATATATTTATGTATCTATAAATCGTTAACTATTACTTTTATAAATTTCAAATTATGGATTTCTGACCTCGACTGTTTTAAATTTTGAAATATTTTGCAACTTAAGATTTCCGAATCTCAGTTTAATTTTTATTTTCGAAACAGAAATTTCAGATTTAATAAAGATATCTGTGTGTCAGTTTTTAAATATTTTGAAATATATTTCAAAAAAATATATAAAAAATTTTTCAGAGATTCCAAATCTCTTTTTGTTATCAAAAGGAGATTCTCGATATCTCTTCTCTCAATTTTACAACCTAAGACTTTCGAAACTCAATACTTCTATATTTTTGAAGTTAAGAGTTCCGTATTTATTTTTTTTTTTATTTTATTTTCGAAGTGGAGATTTCCGAGAACTCAATTAAGATTTTCGAAACTCAATTCATCTATATTTTCAAAGTTAAGAGTTCCGTATTTAGGTTTCATAATATTTACGAAGTGAAGACTTGCGAATCTCACTATCTCTATATTTTCGAACCGAAAACATGAAGTCGTTTCAGATTCTAAATATTGATCGTAGAACAATGAAAACGCATTAAACATCACACGTTAGCACTCCACGTTTTAACAAAAATCCACGACAAATAGTTAAATAAAATAAATAAATTAAAATTCAAAAAAAAAAAATTAAAATAAATTAAAAATGCACATTTAAATGAAAACAGTACAAATAATTTTTAATCAAAATATGTAACAATTTTTATGCATATAAATATTTTATAAATATATAAAGCCGTTTTTCATTTTGCTTGATGCCAGAAAACACACACAAATCCATAAAAGTGAAGTGAATAATCTTTATTTTTTAGTTTTTTTTTAATTTAAAATTCGTAATTTATTAAAAAATATTTATAGAAAATATATGTAACAACATTACAAAATGAGTTATGAGACAAATATTTATAAATCGCTTTTTTTATTTTGTATATATAAAATAATTAAGCACTTACAAGATGAATGATTTTATTAGCCAATAAAGAGTGTAAATTATGTTTCCGTATTTTATACAAATTAAATAATTATTTATAAATTATCATACCAATGATATGTAACAAATAACAATTATATTAATTATTATTATTATTAAAAATATTTATGAGTAACATTTTAAATGGCAATAGACAAATTTCGTTGCACATTTTTATTGATTTGGCACATTTTTCTGAAGTTAATTTTGTGTAATTACACAAAATAATATTGTGCATTTTGTAAAAATGTGCAAAATTTTAAAAATTTTTATTAGAAAATTATTAATAAAAATGTGATTCTAATGCATGTGTGTGTGTTTATGTTGTACTTATAAATTTATCATATACATATATATATAAAATATAGCAATAATTTCATTGTTGCGTTATTGTTTATTTAATGTGCTTTATGAACTACCAGACTTATCATCCTGCTGCTCAGTTTCAGTTTTTGGCTTAGATTCCAAAGTTTCGGTTATTTTCTTCCAGATATTCTCAAAGGAATCTTTGCCCGCATAATCAATTTGTCCGGCTTCCCAACATTGACGTCGCATAAGTGCTTCATATGCGTCTTGTTCAGGTGTGCGTTGTTCGCCGAGGCGCAATTGTGACAAGGCACCAGCCAAACCAGCCTGAAATGGATATCAGTAAAATTAATTAAATATATTCTATATAAACCGACTGATAAACATTTTTAAGTATTTAACATTTATATGCAAGAAAGTTGTTGGACAGTCACATAAATATATATACATACATATATATCTAATTTTTCTCTATTAATAATTATGAATTTGGTGCAATTGGGACACAATTATAAGCATAAACATAATTTAATAACTGCAGTCCTATAATTAAGATTATACATAAACAATATAATAGATTACAGATTCAGTATAATAGCCGTGTTTTATTATTAACGCATGTTGTTCTAGTAACCCGTTAGAACCTGCTTGTGTAGTTTCTTTGAGTGGCGCTTGGTCGTCGAGGTCAATGAGTGGCATCGGGACGAAGTCCCGATCGTTCCTGCAACCATTTAGCGCACACTGAAATCTGTATACTTTTTTCTTCTGGAGCTTTGCCACTATCATGGCCTCATAACGTGCCCTCCATATATTGTCCAATAATAATTCATGGACAACAGTCAGTGGTCACTGCAAATTCCCACCTTAGATATATTTATCCCTTACAACTTTCTAAAAATGATGGTTTATACTACTCACAATAAACTAACGCAATTAGTGTAAATATTACTAAATTAACTAACAAATGAATAAATAACTATATAAATAAATTATTAAATAGATAAAGTACCCATCGTCATTCTATGTGAAACTAAAGAAAATATCAACAGATATTTCAAAACAGTGTTATGTTCTCAATCCTCTAACAGTTTCCACTTACGCGATAGTACAAGTTTATTATATACATTATAGTATTCACTTGTTTTGAGAGATGCTTTAGACCTAAAACTTGCATATTATACTCATATTTCTAAAACCAGAGACAAGCACTTATAATTTGATTATAAAAAACTAACTATATTCTATATTTTTTAGAATAACTTTCAGAAATACTTTCAAATATAAATGTCAAAACAATAAAGTAGAGAAACATCCCGTTTCATACTTAATATGTGTGAGATCTTGTTCAGATCCGTTACATTAAATTATCTGACACTATCTTCAACTAAAATTCTATAGACTCTGTATTTTATATACTATAAGATCACATTAACGATGAATGTTAGTAAATTATTGCTTTTTATAATGCCATAAAAACTCCAGTGACCACCACTCATCAAAGATAAATTAAGTGGAATCATACCAGATTTTAAATTCAATTTAAAAAATAAATAGCAAATTGATACACCCGCAATCAAAATTAGGAGATGTGGCGGATTAAGTGGAATCATACCAGATTTTAAATTCAATTTAAAAAATAAATAGCAAATTGATACACCCGCAATCAAAATTAGGAGATGTGGCGGAAGACCGAGCTTGAGATCGAGGGATCTGATTAAAGATCTCTAACCGCACTGGATTCACAAGTCTAAAGAACAAAAAAAAACAAATATGATGCACTGGACCCCCTTATTTGTAAAATACTAGAAAATATTAGACATAGATCGCATTTCTAAAACTTAATATTCAAACTAAAATGGAATTTCATTTTTAGAACCATGTTTTGTTAAAATATCCACTATATACATACTATGGCAGAGTATGGGAGAGAGAGAGGCAAGGAGAGAAAGAGAAGGAAACAGAAAGAGAAGGAGAGAGAGAAAAGGAGATGAGAAGAACAGAGAGGAGAGAGAGAAGAAAAAAAAAGAACGGAGAGGTGGAGAGTGAGAGAAGGAGAGAGATGGAAAGAGAGAGAAAGAAAAAAAGAGAAGGAGGGAAAGGGAGAGAAAGAAGAATTATAGGACAGATATAAAGAGAAGTTAATAACGGAAGCGAAAATATATGCAGTTTTTACACTGCTTCTAATAGGGATATAAAATTCCTTTTCTCTTGAAATAATAAATAATAAAATAATAAATAGTATTGTATTTATCGCATATTTAAAACTTTCAATGTTGAATGTAATTTTAATGGCATATCTCTAGGCATGCGTCTTATGACGAAAAGAAACTAGAAGGATTGGCTGGCCATACAACGCTGTTTCGAGTATTGCCAAGTACTCATCGTCAGTGATCTTAAAAATGAATTCGAATTTTAATTTAATTAGTTTCTAGTCCCTACACAATTTCTTGCACTGCAAGTACCAGGCTTAGAACTCGTACCTGTTAAATTAGAAACGATGACTAACTTTCTTTAGGGCTTTACAAGCTTTCTATGCACTCCAAGGTTTTGGTCACATTATTTGTGACACTAATCGAAGCAATTGTCATGCTTGGAAGCACAAGTTCAACCTAGTTGCCTATTTTTTATTTTAAAGCTGTTCTTTTGAAGGATGTCTCTTCTGCATACATTTACTTACTCATTAAAAATTATTTATAATTATACGTATATTATATATTGTAAATAATATATTATTACTAATATAAAAGAAAGGCAACTGTATAATACCTATAGTAAAATAATACTGTTTTAATATAATATAATTTGTGGAAAGAAAGTCAATAATATTATAGTGATGTCTTTTAACAGCACACTATTTGTTTATACTTATTGTGTCCCATTTTATTAAACATTTATACACTATAAACAAAAATATACATAATTGTTAGAAGCAATATTAAATAGTAGCAAATTTAAATAGTAGTAATATTAAATTGTAGTAATATTAAATAGTAGCAATATAAGATAGTGTTAGTTTAAAATAGCAGTATATTAAATGTAGGTTCTCAAACTTTCAATTAAGTGGATTCTATAGTTTAATATTTAAGATTTTAGTGATGATAGCACAAAAAATGTATATGTTTACCTCTTTGGGAAGATTACTATGAGATAATATGGAACTAATTTGGTGCAATGAAAATAATTAGACAAACTCAGCATGCAAACTATGATGATTGCGACAGATTTCTAAAAATAACAAAATAATACTGGATGTGTTTATTATCGCGACCAGATCCATTAAGAAGAATAAGTGATTATCACAATGAACAAAAAAAATAAAAATAAAAATAACGAATCGCACAAATGTGATGAATGTGGAGGAAGGAGAGATGAAGACGACAGCACCACGATTTTTATAAAACAAATTTTACAGATTTGCATTATTCGTTTTCGTCCTACATGTAGAAACCACGCCCATATATTCTTACATGCAATTCTTTGTAATGTAATAGAATTTTCGTATATTTCACAAATAAAATTTTTACCTCGTTTTCGTTTTGAGTACTTTGTGCTTCTATATTTTCAGTATTAACTGTACAGTTTGAGTTAGAATCTAAATTTTGTACCAAGTCTATATTATTATTGGCAGTGTTTGCACTGTGATTAGAATTTTCATTACTATAGGTGTCCGTATTTCTACTTTGATTCGTACTACTATTTGTAGACGCGTTTGTTTGTTGCTGCCAGTCTGTATTTTGAGGGTTCACAGCCTCTACGATTAACTCTACGATAGGCGTTGAATTATATTCTTCTATTTTGTGCTGTTCATGTGATTCATTTGGAACAGTTTCGACTGTTGCAGTTTGCAATACATGACTTTCATGTGATTCTTCAACTTTGTGCTCTTCATATATACTCTCTACTTGCATTTGTTTGTCCAATTTATCATAGTAATCTTCCCAAGGATCGTGAAAATCTTTAACATAATCATACTCATATTGCGCATCATGATCTTGATAGAAAGGATGTTGGTGATCAGATGACTGTTGATGGAAAAAGCTGTTGTGGTAGTGTTGTTGATTGTTCTGGTGGTGATAGAAATGCATTTGATCGTAATAATTTTGCTTGTAATAGTTCCATTCCAGGACTCCACGCCAATAATTCTTTGTTTTGATTTTAGATTTAGCGTTTATTTTGTTTTGTTTTTATTTTTAGAAAATTTTTTCAAATATGATTTGTTTTGAAAGCAACAACATTATATTTTGTAGTATTTAACCAATTAGAAAGAGTTAGAGAAAAATATAGAAATAAAAATTTACAATTGTTAGTAAAAAGTATATAAAATATTAGTTGCAATTGGAAAATATCTAAACAACATGCAAGTTTCAAATAATTAATTAATTACAATATCTAATGAGGCTTATAATGCGCCTAGAAATGTTTTTAATCTAAATTGATCACTTTTGCAATTGCAAACTGCAATTTATTGGGAGAAAAAAATAGCACACTTTTGTCAGCGATTGCCTATATCTATTTATTTTCTTAAAAATAATTAAATGTGTTGATCTCTCATTGAAAATCTTTATAAATTGGAACATTTGCAATTAAATTCAAAAGAAAACGAAGACGAAGACTAAAACAACATTTTGGCTCAAAGCCAATAGTGCACAGAGATGAATACACAGAACCAATGGGAAAAAAATTAAATAAGATCAATGATCGTGGTGCTTCTTAAATTATATTAAAATATCACACGAAAACACATGGAAACTTAAAATATTTAAAAAAAATTTTAAACTTGGAAAATGATCTCAAAATCTGTTACTCACAGCTTTATATCTACAAAATATATCTGCAAAATTTTTGGGTGTGGCGCAAGAAAACAACAAAAATAATATGCAAAAATCTCAGGAACCACTTTTCAAAATTTTTTATATAAATTGTATGTACATATGTATAACAAAAATAAAAAAACAGATTTTTTTTTTAATATAACATATGTATAACAGAAAAAAAAACAATAAAACTGTATTCAGGGAATGCAATAAAATTTTTAAATTGCCAATTTTTCCACAAATATTGTTTTAATCAAATTAAATTTTAAACAATTTTATTTTTTAATTTTGTAAAATTTTCTTTAATTTGAATTTTTTTTAGAATTAATTTTTTTTCATATTTTAAAAATGAAAATTTCAAAAATAGCGCTTAATTTCTAAATAATTTTTTATTGAAAAAGCTGACAGATTTATTTAAGAAGAAAAATATTTATTTTTGAAATTTATAAAAAAATAAAAATTTATGAATTTTTAATAAATGGCATAATTTTGCGAATAAAAAAATTTAACTTAAATTCAGTTAAAACTGCAAGATTAATGGTTTGAAATAGAAAATATTCTAAATTTTTGGCAAATAAATTAAAATCACACACATACAAACATATATAGCGCATTTAATAATAATAATATTATATAATACGCTACATACTTTAAAGACCAAAATAATAAATAAATAAATTGGAATAAATTTTTAACCAGTAAAAGGTTAATTATATGTTCCAATTAAAGCTTGCTTAAAAAAAATGATATTTAACTGGATTTGCCATAAACAGAATGCAATTATTTTTGCAGCCAAAGTTTAATACACTAAAGGCTTTAGAATTAATATAAAAGAATATTTATATTTAAGTATATATAAATATATTTAAATATATAAAAAAAAGTATCTATATGACTTTTACATTGAATTGATTTAATTGGTTTGTGTCAGACAGAATCAGTTTCTGTCAGATCTAATTTGTTTGTGTTATAAACCATAGCTGTCAGCTTTTCAGATTTTAAACAAAAAAACTGAAAAAAGTGTGAAGCACTTTTGATACGGTTATTATAACCAGCTCCAGAAAATAAGATGTATTGGGTTTTTTGGAAATAGACTAATTTCTAGCCTATTCACACAGCACAATGTCATTTTAACTATAATCTTGTTCTTTTGGTTTGCTTCGCAAAAAACATGTTCACACAGCAAATTATAATCTTATCTTAATTTTGTTAAGAAGGTTTAAAACCTTTAAAATCTGTGCTATTCAATATTAAAGAGAGGTGTTATGTGCTATTTTTTATGCTATTCACACAGCACAAGTGAATGTAATTTTGACTTTTATCTTCCTTCTTAAGTTCCCTTCACAAAAAACATGTTCACACAGCAAATTATAAATTTATCTTAATTGTGTTAAGAAGGTATCAAAAAAATTTTTTATTTAATTAATAACTAATTTATTAAGACTTAAGAAATTTTTGAAAAATTTCTTGAAAGAAAAAACTCAGTTTTTAATTAGCATATAAACAAATGCAAAATTATGGAGTACGCATTTATATGATTCTGTAGTCTATTATTTTTTATCATTTTTTTTTTGGTAGTCAAAATTCAAAAGTGTAAAAGTATACAAATAACCCACATCTAAAATAATTTAGAAAATTTGTGCTAAATTCAATCTAATTCTAAATTAAATAGTGAATATAAATTTTAAAATATAACATTAATGAGTTTTTAAATATAATTGATTCATAGCTATTTGTATTTGAGTTCATGGTACTCTATAGATTTTTTTTTGAAGTGATTTAAACAAGCCTATAATTTCGATAGGTATTTTTAAAGTAATTTAAAAAAAGCATATAATTACACTAAGCAAACACTCAAATATAAATAAATCTACTGCCAAGTTGTATACATATATCCATTATAATCGAATATACTTTAAGTAAATATTAGAAGAGTGAAGTGCTCATCAATGTATGTGTCGAAATATCATAATTTTTATAGCAAATATTGTTGCAATAAACAATGAATTTAGGTGAAAAAATGTTTATTTGTTATAAATATCATAATAAACAATTATTGCCAGTGAATCCATTATAGTTCATTTAAGTTTTTGTGTGAAAAATAAATATTAGCACAAATTTTATGATTACCTATAAATATTTTTTGAAACTACATACAAGTAAAATTTTTATGATTCAAGAATGTTTTTTCGTAATGGGATCGAAGGATAGAGAGAGAGATAGTACTATATTAAAAGCAATATAGTTTACCGTTTTATTATTTTTAAGTGCATATTAATTACTCTTATTAATAGTTTTTTCAAAAATATGTTGGAGAAGTTAATGTATAAATATATTAACAGTGGATTAAATAGTACCAACAGCGGTAGTTTCAATAAAAATTCTGCCATGTGCTAGATAGTAGACAGTAAATACTAATTGACATGAAACTTATTTAATAACAATGGATTCCTCTTTTAATCAAATCTTGCATTTATTAGATGATATACAGAAAATGTTAGTCGCACTCAACCCTTCAAGACAAAGAACTTAATCAATTGCAAAGATTAGTGACTCTAGACGGATCGTATACTACATATTTTCACTCAGGATTTGCAATTGCTAGATGGTTGAGAGAAAATAATTCTAAAGATACATTGAACAAGAAACTTCAAATATTGGATTTCATTAAATCTCGCTTTGGATAGATTCTAGAGAGAAAATACTATAGTTAGCGCGTTTTGCAGAACAAGAGACTTATTAAATTATTGAAATTTGTGACTTTCTACAGAACGAAAATCCCATTTTAATTACAACTAGCCAACTAGGATGATAGATAATAAATACTAATTGCCACGAGACTTATTTAATTACAATGAATAAGTGAATACCATTAAAACCTTGAATTCTGAAATCAAATTAAAATCAAATCTTGCATTTGATAGATGAATTTCAGAAAGTCCAGTCACAGTCCATTCTACAGGATGCAGACTTATTTAATTGCAAGGATAAGCAAACATCTACGGAACGTATAACTTCAGATTTTATATGTGAATTTAGAATCAGAACTTGCATGTATTAAATACATACTATATTAAATGCATACTAAATACATACTAAATGCATACTAAATTCATACTAAATGCTAATGCATCACTAACGGACGAATAATTTCACATTTTTATTTTGATATTGCATTTATTTAATAATAGAGAAGATACACTAACAGCAGACTGTTTCATGAACTAAAAGGTTACCTCAGTTTTGAGAAAGATATATCCATTTTTATAACAATGGATTTATTTAAAAAAAAACTTTAAGAAATAGTTCTATGGTAAAATAACATAAATTTTTATGTTTTAGAGATCAATTTAAAGAAAAGAACTAGTGCTAAAATAACATAAATTTTTATGTTTTAGAGATAACTTAATTTAAAGAAAATAACTAGAATCTAAGTAAGTTCTACGTGAACTCAAGTTACTTATATTCCGAAAACCCAATTCATTGAGTAATTGATCCATTGTGATAACATAAACAGGCTTGCTAAGCTATATTCTATCTGGTATATTGCATCTATAATACTCTGAAACCATTTTTATATATACTTTGATCAAACAAGCAATAGTCTTAATATATAATGTAAAATATCACATAAGCAGTTGAAAAAGTAATCCTTAAACAAAATAAACACCTTAATAAAGTGTCAAAGCAGACTATAATCTACCAAAGTAGATAAGTGAAGTTTTTTTGCATGTGCTATGTGGTTTAAAACCCTAATTTATTCTTATTCTCCTGTACTTTCAAAGATATTACAAAAAGTAAATAATATATATAGTTTGCCTATTAAGTGCAGAAAATTAAACAGGTTATATAGAAAAATGAAGACCAACACCCTTTATCTAGTATAATTACTATAATATAAAAAGACTGTTTTAAAAATTTTAAAAACATTAATATTTTAAAAAAATAATCTGTGAACACGATTCCGATTAATAGATACACCTTCTTGACAACATATTTTAGTAAAGAAAGCTATTTTCAACAATTTTTTTGAATACGCTATTTGATATATAATTCAATTTCGAGATTTTCGAGATATCAGTATTAAAAATTGAAAATTTCTACATTGAAACTACCAACAACTATTTATTGTTATCAATGTAATAATTGTACACACCAATTGACACTAGATGGCGTGCGTAGTTGTTTTTATTAGAGTATTCAATATAAAAGGTACGTGACTTTTAACTTTGATATCTCAAGAAATAAACCATATCGGCATATAGCATAATGAAAGAAATTGCTAAAAATATTCTGCTCCACTGAAATTCGTTATAAAATTGGCATACTCCGGAAATCAGAATATTGTCGAAATGTATTTCATATTTAAATATTTTTTCAAAATAATAATGTTTTTAAAATAAAAAGCAGTGCCTAACTAATTTACATTTATATACAAGTATGTATAATATAATCTATAATCAACTCATAGTGTATGAAATCCTTATCCAGTGCATCACAAAACAGTTTTACTAGTTATAGTGCAATTAATACATTATTATTAATAATAATTCGGGATTCTTACCTCAAAGTTAAAACCAAAATTATCACTACTAACTCCTTTCGTATGCTTGGAAATTGGGGAAAAAATTTTAAAATTTGCTTTTATTAATTAAAAGTTATTTTAAAGCAAAATTAGTTGACAATTAAAGAGAGACTTAAATAAAACAAAACTAGGCGTACAGAAGAACATTAATTAAAAAAGTAGAAATTTAAGAACAAATAAAAAATTTAATTAATTTTCTATATATAGAACGTACAACAACAACAACTTACCATTTTATCGGTCAATGTCTTATGCACATTATCACAGAAAATATTCCACCAAAGTTGTATCAAATCAGTAGCGTGTGCATAATCGGAAGGTGCGGAAGCAGTTCTGCTCTCTGAATTGAACTGTACCAACCATGGTTTCATTTTACCGGCGAAATGTAGAATCTTGATTTTATCTCTGAATCTGTAAATGGGTATTAAAATATAAACCGTTCTCTATGGGCCACTCTCTAAACTACTACATACTGTTTGAATGCGGGCAAATAACAATAAGAAGCAAAGGCGGTAACATTGTAAATGAAAGGCAAATGCTTATTAATGTCAGTGTGTGCCCAATCGGCGAAGTATGAATTCAATAATCCCTGATCGCCGCCATCGAAACTGCCGTGCTTTAATGCAAACTCTGTTATTTTTGCAAATGTATCCAAACTTGGTTTAAAAACGAAAACACCAGAATTGAAACAATCTGGCCAGCTTACATCTGGGGCTGCGGAGAGTTCCTCACGTTCGAAGAGTTCATCGCAATTTTGTAAGACCTAAAATTAGTGGATATGTCTAATATAAGTGTCTAACAAAAAGTTTAAATATATTCTAAAGTATTTAGTTTTTACACTAAATTACTTCATGTATACTTTTTCTTTGTTTCATAGAAATTTTACGTACAAGAGTATCGGAATCCAAAAATACACATTTTTCGAATTGCACTAAACGCCAGCAATGCAATTTTGTAAATGTAATGCCCAATTCGGGTCTGGCCAACAATGCCAAATTGGCTGCATCCTGTGAATCCAATACATTAACCTCTTGTACTACATTGTACACGTCTTTTAATTTGTTACGCATGGACTCTGATACGCCGGGCGTTACGAGGACGGCCAATTGATGTGCAGTGCCGGCACGTTTAAGTGAATGTGCCAGAACCAATGCACCGAGCGAGTATGTGTCGTTCGTCGTTAACGTCACCCACGCAAAATCTGTAATATTTTTTTTATATGAGTTCAATATTATTGAAATTTTAAATTTATAGATAATAAATTAAATTCAATTTATTTTTCAATTTAATTTAGCATTTTTTGATTTTTTTTTTAATAGGTATTATTTACGTCAATTAAGTGGCTATGCATATATAAGCGAGTTATCGTGCAATTGCGAACTGCAAGTATTACACAAACATGATATATCATATTTACATAATATATTACAAGATAAAATAAATTACAAACATAAGAAATAAAATTTATATATTTAATTTATTAATGCTATGAATAAATAATTAAAAAATCTTTTTAAGATCTAATTAAGGAATAAATGAATTACAAAAATAATAAATTTTTTTGTATTTACACAGATAGGGAAAACTATTCTAACGAACATTTCTTTAAAACTGACACCCATGTTAAATAGATGTCCCCTCGAGTTCTTGAATTCTCTTGTTTAGTTTCTTATTATCATTATAAGAAAGGAATAAATGCCTTTTGCCATTTTTTCTTCCAGACCTTAGTCCTTATGACTACCGTTTGTTTCGGTGTACGCTAAATTTTCTTTAAGGTAAAAAATTGGACGATCGTAGACCCGCTACAAATCACTTAGCTATGTTTTTCACCGACAAAAAATAAAAGTGCTAGTACGATGAATTTATGGAACTATCCGAAAAACTACAAAAGGTAATAGTTAATAATCACCAATATTAACTTTAATAAAATTAATTAATAAAGTAAATTTTTCTACAAAAATGTGCCAAAAATTACGAAAACTTTTTTATTATCTAATATATTTTTTATTATATTAGCAATATTTGCCAAATTGTAGTTAAAAAAAGACGTTCTAGACTACCATTAAAACTTTGAAATTAGTAGGTATAATAATAATTATTTTATTATTGTTATTATTATTATTATTATTATTAAACTTCGAAGAAATCTATTGAAATCTATTGTACTATGCTTGGAAAAAGATCTCTAAGCTTATTTGGACAATTTATTACTTTTGGTAAATCTAACTGTGCCATTGGTTTAAATACTGCAAGTCTCTTTCAGTTCACTGAAAGTGACTATAGTGACAACCTCCACAACTCAGAAAAATTCAACATATGCTGTCATTCATAATATTAAAAATAATATTTATCCAAGTCAAAGGAAATCCTTCTCAAGTTTATTTAATAATCTCATTTTAAGCAAATGTTATTGTCAATAATCTAATTGTGTAAACAAAATATCTTCAATAAGTTCTAGAAATAATTTTGAAAAAAATGTATAAGGTAAATAAACCGAATTATAATAAAATTCAAAAAATTTATTAAAAAATTAATTATCCATATATCTAGAATATTCCTTAAACATTATTAAACAATACAAAACAATAAACAAAAACAATATTAAACAATATTCTAACTATAATCTTTACGATTCAATACTATCGAAAAAAATCAAATATTGGAAAAATCATAGAGTATCAAAAAAATTATAGAAAAAATTTACTACTAAATTGTTTTGTAATTCTGAACTGAATATACAAGTTCAATGCTAGGATGTTTTCCTGAGGCTCCACTATAGCCTTAAAAACATATTGAAGACATTATTTTCATACACAATTTTAAGAGGAATAACAATACAATTCATTTTATATACCAACCCGCTTTTCTAGACAACTTCTACTATGGCTATGATGATGATGATGAGTGATGAATGATGAGTAGTTATAACGTAGCCCTTGATATACTTCAAAATGATTAGCTCTCTTTTGAACTACTTTAAGGACTTAACTTTAAACTGTCTCAGAAGTATTCTCTCATCATTCCGCTGTAGAAAGGCTTATTTATGAACCCTCATCACAAAATATACTCACAAGCTAGCACATTTCACTTCATCCTTGCTAATACTCTATTCCTAAATATATAGAATTGCATAGAGACCACGATTTTAAAATGTATTTATTGATTTCTTCCACAAACCATCAATTTAGACACACAACTTGTAGTAAAAAAATAAAATAAATATATTTCACATATCACTTAACTTTAAAACTCTACAACTCAGCAGGTAGAACACTATAGTATAACTGTATGTGGATATGTGATTTATATATATATTAAATTTCACCATATGTGAGCAAAATTAGAAAGAAAAATATTTTTGGGGTTTTGGATTTACATGAAATGTACGCCCCTCTTTTTTTTTTTTATTCAAAATAAAATGATCAATATATATGTATATACGACTATTTTTTTTGCTCCGTTTATGATTTTCTACGGTAACCGATAACGATTCAATTATTTCCATTCGATGACGTTAATTTCGAAATAAAATAAAATAATTGACTTAAATCATTAAAAATATTTTTAATGATTAAATTAAAATTTATTTAAAACTAAAATTTATTTAAAATTAAAATTTATTTATTAGACAAAAACTATTTCGGATAGAAAAATAAACTAATTAATAATCTAGAAAATAAATAATTTAATAACTGACAAATAAATAATTTAAGTAAATAAATTTAAAAAAAAAATTGAATAAGTTAATAATAAGTAAATAACTACATCAGAAAATATAAAAATAACTCAGTAAAGTAAATATATAAGTAAAAAAAAATTAATAATTATATACAAAATAAAAAATAAGTTAATAATTGGTACAGTAAATAAATAAGTTAGGTGAATGATTAGTTAAATAAATTAATACTAAGATAATAAATAAACTAATAAATATGTGAAAATAAAAAAAAAAAAAATTCACAATAAACAAAAATATTTGAAGATATTGATCAAATGATCTAACTACCTCCCTTCTGCATCACTCACCACATTCTTTCCTATCTACATATGGTTTTTGTGATATGTGTATACCTGAACCAAAAGTTACTTGAAATGGATTTAACCAGAATTGTAGCCCTGATTCTACATATCTACTTCTACACAATAGATGAAAGCTTGTAATTCTCCAGCTTTTTTTTAGCAATAGTATAACCGATTTCGGTTCTACTCAAAATCATAATTTTTCTTCTTTTAGACGTGTTTATATATGACCAAGTTTTTTTAGTCTTGGCGCAAGGGATCTTGTTTTTGTTTTTTTTTTATAGGTAATAAGAGTCTATTTTATATTTAGAAATTTTGATTGGTACATAGATTGGTACCTAAAAAACAACTGATATAGTTAATGACTGCGCCATGGCGTATCAAATAATCTGTTATGTATACAATATGACTACATATAACTATATAAACGACGAATAGGTACGTTGACTGAATTGTCCATAGATGCAACACAATTAGATTGAGTATATGAAGAGTGTAAGGTTTTCATTATTGCGCCTAGGTTTTTATAAAGAATTTAGTATCATTATCTGATATATGTCTTTTTAATATTAATACTGAAGTTAACATTGAGTGTTATCAGTTCCTTTTAAAATACACTTTCAAAGTCTGGTATTCTATGTGAGACCATAAGTGTGTGGAATAAGTAAATAGGCAAATAAATAAAAAATGTAAAAAAATACTTAATAATTAAATAATGTATTACTAAGTTTTAATATTTGTTGGTTTAAGATCTTATAATATGTTTACTTGAAATCTCAACAATATATTAAATGCTAATATGTAAATAATAATATTATGTTATTTATGATCTATAGGTAAATTTTTAATGTGTTATGTATTCAATTCATAATGACAGTACATCTTCTATAATTTGAAATTCTGGTCAGTTGGATTTCTCTCTATGTGTATTGTAGTCCTGATCAACCACTAATCCGGATCAAATGTTAAGAACATGTCTGTTCAAAACCCTATTGAAATAAATCACATTTATAGGTTATGTGATCAATTTACATATATATACATCTATATATGTTTGCTATTTGCTCTTTGTTAATATACTTTATTATGAATTTCATGAATATCGTATTTATATTATAGATTAATTTAATAAGGAATAAATTATTGTTCAGTTTTTATTTAGTCCTTGTGTGTAAGATTTTTCCTAGATTCTTAATATAACTCCTGCAATCCGAACTTTTCAGTGTTCTGAATTGACCGTTAATTTAATAGATCTAGATTAGTGGATTTCTACTGTGTATTAGACTTTTACTAGATTTTTGATATAATTACTTTAATCTGAGGTTCTCAGCTAATTGATTTAACCCAATTTTTAATAGATCCGGATTAGCAGAATTCTACTGTAAATGACTTTTCCTAATATGACTCTTTTAATCTAAATGTCTTAGTAATCTGAATCGACCCTAATTTTAATGATTTGAATAAGAAAAATTCTACTGTGTTGCAGACTTGTTTTGAAATATTAATATAGCTTCTGCAAACCAAAATTCGGGTCAGTAATTCGACTTGAACCTAATTTTAATAGGTCTGCATTAACACAGTTCGACTGTATATTAAAAATGTTGCCTGTTTGTTAAAAATATATAAGAATAAAATCAAGAAATAAATAAATAATTGAAAGTAAATATGTAAAATATTAATTACAATATATTAAGAAAATATATATAAAAGAATGAAATTCAATTTTAAGTATTTGTTATTTGAAGACCCGATTATATGAGTTATTATAATCTCTAATGTTTATTAGTCGAAAATATTGTAAGTAATAAGATCTAAGAAAATTAATAAAACAAAAGATTAATTTTATTACAAAAAACAAAAATTTATTTCCAATTTTGATCTAGATATATACAAATTTGATTAAATAATTTTCTTAAAGTATAAAGTTAAAATACATTTGAATTAAAAAAATTGCAAAAAATGATTAAAAATATTATTAAACAATAATGAAATAAAAAAATTAAAGATTCACTGAAGTAAATAAAAGTCCTAGTGACATTATCTGTAACTTCAGCGTTAACTATATAGTTCTAATGAACGTATAGCACGATTTTTTTTTTGCAACGAAAGCCATAAGCATTTTGTTAAAACACTTAAAATGATTTTTTATTAGCATTAAGAATCCTGTTGGGGGCTTCGAGG